AGACTCGCTGCCCGACCAGAACCAGGCCCGAGCGTACAACGCCCCGCGTTCCGCGCGCGCCTCAAGAAGCCATCAGACCATCACAGATGGGGCCCAACAGGGCTGATACCGATACGAAGCCGCGGAAGACTTAACGGGTTGCCGGGGCTCCGGCTCGAAGTGCAGTTTTTAGTTACTTAACATAGTTAGACAGAACAAAATATGATTCTAACATAAAGATTTAACAGAGATAAAGCCATACATTAAATAAAAGGAGAGCAGAGGTGAGTAGTGTAGGTATCGAATACTTATTAACATTACGATTTATGTCAAATTAAAACTACATACCTATTAATTTATCATTGTAGTCGAGGAATATAAACTAGGTGAAAGTCCAAACAATAAATACACTTGTTGTTTTAGTGCAACAATGTGCTTACACATCAACGAGACGATGAGTCAGTCAACTGTTTGTTGCTCATATATCTACAACAAATCAACTACTACTACTACTTGACTACACCTGAACCATACAGTGTCTCCATAGTGTACAGAGTTTATGTGCCTGTTTTAGCCATAACTTTTCCAGGGTATTCAGCACCAGTCATATGATTGTTGGGCGTCTTTTTTTTAAGGGGGGAAAATCATCGAATGACTGCTCCCGCATGGGTGAGGCGGGAGGGAGTGTCAGACTCTTACTGACTAAAAACCACCCCGATCCTTCTCCTGCACGTCGAGTCGGTCAGCCCCGGTTACCCTTTAGGTTCTCCGCGACATTGCTGGGCATCTTGAATTGAAGGCAAGTAGCACATTTCGACTCATCTGACTTATTTCGGCAAGCTTTTATGGAATGTCCTTGTTCGTGACGTCTGCAAGTTAAGAAGGTCTGCCGACATGATTTGGTATGTAAAGCACCTGGTTACCAGAATAATGTCTCAAACAGAGCATGATAACCAGCTTATAAAGACTCGGTCTTGGAATCTTAGGGCGTTTCGTATGACTGCGATAACTTCGACCACAAAATTGCAGGTCTCAGCATCTCTTCTCCCTGTCTTGTCCTTGTCTTTAAAACCGTGCCAAGACTGCAATTTTCCATTTTATCGGCTAGATTCTGGTGGAACGAGCACGTTAAAGCGTTGTTGTCGGTCATAGCTGACGGCACTCCTAGGATGACGACTTTGAGCTTTCTTTTCTTCGACTCATCGACAGTTAGGCCTGAGCTTGTTAGTTGCGCTGATTGTTTCAAGTATCGATATCGAGTTTGACTCGGTACTGACAATGACGCCGCTATTTTTAGTTTTGTGAAGGCCTCTTACTTGTCGTTTTAATTCTTCAGGGCGGATGATTTTTTGAGGCATTTGGCATCGTCACTTATCTTCATTTCGCACACCTAACTCTCAACATAACTCGCTATTAAGAGTTGAATAAAACTATTCGCACCATTTAACCATATCGGCAAAATAATTTACTCGGATAGGTTCACTTTTTAACCGACTTAGAAAAAAAGGAGGAGGTTCTCAATTCGGCTGTATGATGGAATCCCAGGGGAACAGAGGGGAACTTTTAAAAATTATAGGAGCGACTAGTGCATTTGTTAATTTTTTCGTATAGCTAAGAGAACAATGGTTAACAGTACCCAGAACCTGGTATTTGAGCTTGAATAATATGTATTGACGAAAACTTTGCACCGATGTGGGTTGTATATAATATAATAATTATATTCTAGACTCTAGTACTATACTAAAAAGAATAAAATAAAAATAAAAAACTACGTTTAAAAAAATAGACATTTTGTGTATTATTGATCTTTTCCCGGCACTTTCTTGACAGAGTAGTATATCTGAGGTAATGGTCACAGGTGTAATCCATAATAAATTTGTAAACAGCTTAATAATGTTAGGTATGTAAGTTTAAACTAAAACTTGTAAGCTATAAGTATGTACGTATAACCAATAATATCTAGTTATTTTTAACTTTTTAGTTTTTACTTTTCAATTTTTGTTGACGTTTAAAAGTGCCTAACTGGTCTAATTGAAATAAATTATTTTGACTTGACTGTAACTTTGACTTTAGGAGTTTCAGTGATTCTCTTCTGAAGGTATTTAAGCTGCAAGCAAGGTCTAATTGATTCTCAGGATTACAAGCACTTTGGTGGGCTACTAGGGCCCTGGCTTAAAATACTGATCTGTGAAGGCCCGTTACTTACTATTCTACATAGGCCTCTCGCCTCACCCAGGCGGAAGAAGACCATCGAAGATTTTCCCCTTATAAAAAATCTCCGACGATATTGCATATGTCAGTGAGGCTCTGACCGATCGATCTCAACCACTTCTAGATCTCGGGCATCGCGACGGCTTTAGGAACATCAGTACTTTGGGTCAGTAGTTGTAAAGTCGATTCGATGCAGGTGTAGATGCAGGTGCACCAGGCGGGAAACGCACAACCCTGTTTCTTTGGGCAAAAGGGCTGTTTTCCATGACGCAAAGTGTTCTCTTGTCAATTACAGAACATTGTCAATTTATACAACGAGTCAACGCTTTGTCAAGTATTAATGTTCATTTGTTAATCTAGGGCACAATTTTGCAATCGTAATTATTTTACATTAATTTTACTAATGAGTTGTTCAATACGTCTGATTCATACGTAGTAACTATTAATTAATCTGTGTTCATACGCAAGTTTGTACAAGCAATAATGCCAAGCCCAAATATTATTTAATGATCACAGGAATAATCTGTAATGAAATTGTATACAGTTTAATTTTTTTTTATATATATAGAATTGGAGGCAAACGAGCAGACGGATCACCGGATGGTAAGCGATCAGCGCCGCCCATGGACACCCGCAACACCAGAAGAGTCACAGGTACGCACCTGTGCCGGCCTTTTAAAAAGGAGTATGCTCTTTTCTTGAAGGTTTGAAGGTCGTATCGGTTCGGAAATACCGCCGACGACAGATCATTCCACAGTTTTGCTGTGCGAGGCAGGAAGCTACGAGAGAACCGCACAGTTGTGGCCTGCCAACCATCTATATGATGGGGATGCATATGCTGTCGTGAGGGTCGATGGCGAAAAGATGCGGCGGGTATCAGGTCAAACAATTCCTCAGAGCACTCCCCGTGGTATAAGCGATAGAAAATGCACAATGAAGCTACATCTCTACGCATTGCCAAAGTGTCGAGCCGGTTTGAAACATCCGGACATACAACCATCAGAACGGCACGCCGCTGAATGCGGTCCAGAGGAAGAAGCTGGTACTGGGGTGCCCCCGCCCAAAGATGAGAACAGTATTCCATGTGGGGCCGCACCTGTGCCTTATATAGAAGCAGGCGGTGGGTCGGGGTGAAATACTGCCTCGATCTATTGAGCACACCAAGCTTCCTCGAGGCTAATTTGGCCTTATCCTCTAAATGGCCGCAAAACGGGACGTCGGTCGAAATGCTGACACCAAGTATTCCAGTACCGGCTGAGGCAGTTAAGGGGGTGCTTTGAAACTGAGGAGAGACGACCAACGGCAGTTTCTTAGCGGTAAACACGCAGACTTGTGTCTTAGTGGGGTTAAACTAGACCAAATTAAGTCCACCCCAATCAGAGATTCTCCCTAAAGAGGTCTCGATTCTGAAATCGAGAGATTAGAGAGAGAGAGAGCCGAAACAGACTCGTGTCTGAACACGACGACGTTTGACACGACGACGACGTTTGACGACACTATGACGTTTTCCCGAGAAATGTTAGCGCGGCCGGTGTAGTAGGCATCGCCTGTGCTGTCATCCGCATAACAATGAATGCCGCTGATTTTCAGCATGTCATTGATATGGAGGAGGAACAATGTAGGCGATAGCACGCAGCCTTGAGGGACACCTGCGTTTACAGTCATCAAGTCAGAGCATTCACCGTCGACGACGACTTTAATGCTTCTGTCTGCAAGGAAGCAGGAGACCCATTTGTTATAGATTTAATAATGTTATTCCGAACTTGTGGCACCTACGACTTACCTATCAGAGGTTTTTTTTATAATTAATTCAGAACTTGAAAAAATTTAGACGTATGTATGAATGAAAAATTAAACTTTTTAAACAATTTTTGACACCATTTTTATCAAACAAAGATTGAGTATGCTGCCAGACTTTTGGGCACCCTACCTCACGATAGCGATGAGGAATTTTTTTTTTTTTGATGCCTTAAGATAGCATTTGTATTATTATTACTTTTTTAAGGTGTAATACATATTTAAGTTTATAGTTTTAAGTTATATAAATATTTATTTAATTTAAACTCCTATCAATATAACATGTTATTATTATATGATATGAGTAGTACAGCTATTGTAACAAATGCAACAGTATTTAGTTAGGTTGAGTTAAAGAAAATATTTTAAGTACAATTTTCCTATCAATAAAAATCATGTCAATCGTGTGACCAGTCGTGACACTTGGACGAAGGGTTTGTGTGTAAATGGCAGCTAATGACCTACCGAATCCCTGAAAAAAATGTGTCGCTCCATGCGTCAAACATCCTGTATGTATGACGCAGTAAGATAGATAAAGCCGTAATATGATCATATACCTAGGGATTTACAAACACACAAATTTTTAACGTATTCATGATGACGAAAAAGTTTATTTGTAAGTAGAATTCGTAGCCAAACAAAAAAACATAATATAATATTGTTTTACTTAATTATTATATGGTAAGTAGATGTCTATTTCACTAAGGTTAATCTAGTAATACATTAATAATAGTGAACGTAATCCAGTAATACAAGTATATCACTAAACTTGGACCGTTTTATAACTATATTCCTAGAGATAGTAATGAATCGCTTTCATAATTGTAACTATATTACGGCTTTATCTATCTTACTGTGACATATAGATATGCACCGGTACTGACGCGCGCGCACGTCTTCTGACTGTCAGCTGAAACCAAAATAAAAATGTTTTAACAACAATTTACTAATTGTTTACCAACAGCATGCATTGTAACACGGTGACGACTCCGCGCAGTCCGCGCTGACTCACACGCGGGCCGGTCGTTCACCCGGCGCGCGCCGTCTCTCGCTCGCTCCTCCGAGCGCTCCGCTTGCCTCCATTCTTTGCGATCACACACGATACTATTACAATTGTTCGTAGACCATTCGTGTTACTCTCAGACTGTAACTCGTGCAAAATTTTACAATATCCTTCTAAAATTACATTGTCACATAAAATCTATGCTGAGTAGTCAACACTATGGTGACGTCATGGAGTGGTTTTCTACGGACTTGATGTAGCCCCCCACTCGGCGCTCGGCACAGTACAGTTAGCCGCCGAGTATCGCGCTCGCTATCACCGCCAGCTCCTCACAGGGAATGCGCAAGCGTCGCGCGTCGCGCGTAAAGTCGGCTAGTAAGTTAAGGTGTAGTGTGCCGTGTGTAGTGATGTACCGACATGGTTGTGTTGTTTAATATGGTCGTGTGCTGATCAAACTTTGTTTGTGCCGTTTGCTATGTGATCTCTGCTCAGCCCTGAATGAAAAGTGACGAACTGTGAAAGTTCGTCTAGACGCGTCAATCTTAGGAAGTGTGTCCCGTAGCGCGCGCTTGCGCATGACGTCTTAGATGCCGCGAGCCGTGCCACCGCCTGTTTGACCGTGACCAACCACACTTAAAGCATCAGATGTTCTAGGTACCTACGTCAATCTCATTAAGAATATATTGTATAAACTATATGTCATTAAGAGTCTCTCTCTACCTAGTGAATTGAACGTAACATCCTGACGGGAACAAAATAATTAAGTAGTTATAATACCCACAATGATTAGTTTTGGATTCCTAGTATTCCTATACCTTCACTTCTTGCGAGGGGGACTGGGATGCCGTCTCCTCCTTTTGCGAAGCAGTCATGCTAGCTAAGGAGGAGGCGGGACGCGTGAGGCAGCGAAGCACTGCCTCCTCGCAACCCAGCCATCGCGAAGGACACACCGGGCGACGGGGATCGCGGGACTATCTCCAGCCACCGTAAGCGCGGGCCTGCGGACGGCGAGCATGGGTGGCTCCCCGTCCGACCAGAAACAGACCCGAGCGTACGGCGCGTCGCGTTCCGCGCGCGCCGGGGCTCCGACTCGACGTGCAGGAGAAGGAACGGGGTGGTTTTTAGTCAGTAAGAGTCTGACACTCCCTCCCGCCTCACCCAGGCGGGAGCAGTCATTCGATGATATTCCCCCCTTAAAACAAAAGAAAAGAAAAATACCTTCACTTCTTGTTCGACAAAGTGTCCAGGAGACAGGCTACACTCTGTGCTAGTGAGGTCACTAGCACAGAGCACAGAGCACAGAGTGTATACGTACAGACAGAGCACTTCAAGCACAGTTTACTGTCCTTATAATCAAGGAGGATTGTAGGGACAATAAACTGTTTCGGTAACGGCGACATTGATAGCTATTTCCTACCGTGTGCCTTGCGTGTATGTGACTGCACAGTTTGGAAAACATGTTCATAAATAGAGCGGTACAGCTGGCACTACCTACGTACTTTAGATACCTATCTCGTGACGTACCTATGTTTAAACAAGAATAAAGACTTCTTTGGTTGTATTTTCCATAATTCCATTAACACGGCAGCTCTCCTACGCTATGCTTCCGTCTTAGCGTCCTAACCAAACCTGTGCGAGTCGGGGTGCCCTTAAGTTCGCTTCTATGACACTTACTACGGAGCATATTTCGTACATCGCGTGTTATTTTTCGATGTATACGGTAACTTCAATTTATATCTCATGAACCCCGCGTCCTCGTAACTTCTACCTCTATATTTATAAAAAGCCTTCTTTTTATTAGCATTATCTATAAAAAAAAATATAATCCTTCCAACTCAATGGCCCATAATGGGACGTCTATTACACGTATTCGTACACGTATTCGTCGGCAAGTTACGAATCCTATACCTCGTAGCCCGTAGCTCGTAGCACGTAGCTTGAAGCACGCAGTTCGTAGCGCGTAAACCGTAGCACGTAGCTCGTAGCGCGTAACTACTAGCGCGTAGTTCGTACCGCATACTGCAGCGTTTGTGAACTTACTGCTTGGTGAGTTAGCGGCACTGAAAGTTTTGTTATTCGTCATGTTATAGGCTTGAACTTATATACATTAAATATATATTGAACGCTTATTACTTTTTTGCTAAACAACAGGTTTTCTAGTGACAAAATGTAGACAAAGTTACTGCGACATTAATATTCAAATTACTTACCAACTGAACAAAGCTTGATTCATGTTTACAAACGTACATTTTTCGCATTTCTCATTTAATATCTTTCTATTATATCTGAAACTGAATGGATTGACGAGTGATAAAACTGACTTTATACAAAATTTTGTTACATTTTAATTTCCACTTTTTATTTAATATCAAGGAAGTAACCCTCATTTTCAGAATATATCGCAAATTTCTGTTTCTAACAAATAATATTTACCTTCCCACCAGCTAAGACAAGTAGCTGCGTTAAGCGCTGGGCAACCTCAGCAAGCAACCATGGCGAGCAGCAGCCGCAGCAGTCCCGACTCTCAGCATGTCACTGGTGAGCAAGTCCCTGTGCAACGTGCAACGCTCGATGTATCCGCAACGTGTACCCGACATAGTGCAACACGGAGCTGGAGTGACATAGAGCGGTTGTGTTGCAGGCGCGGCGCTGCGCGAGGACCTGCCGCTGAAGGCGGGCAGCGGAGTGCGCGCGCGGTGCTGTGCGCCCGGCCCGCGCCTTATCCTCACCGCGTTCGCCGTGCTCTCCGCGGCCATCACTCTGGCGCTCGTTACGCAAATCTACTACGGTGACTTCGAGGTATAACATATCACCTCTTTACCCAACGTTCACATCACATCAACATCCTATAAGTGACCACTCCTAATCAAAGGCCTCTACTGGCACAGAGAAGGTTTGAGCATTAATCACCACGCTTGCTCAATGCCGGTTGGTCGATTTCAAACTTATAATTCGAAATTATAAGCCCAGGTTTCCTTTTGCCGCTTGTCAGTGTTTTCTAAATAATCCCTGAGAAAGTACATGTAACTAACTCGGAAAAAGTCACATTGATTATTGCCGTTGGTAAGGTCTCGCAGTCTTATGTCTGAGAAGCGACGACCACCAACATGAGTAGTAGGCAAGTGTAAGTAACCCTGTATTGTACTGTGTGACCGTGGAATGATGTCGTGGTGCCCCGAGCAGCTAGTCCCGCACGGCAGCGTGTCGTCGTCGGCCGCGGCGTGTTCCCGCGCGGGCACGGACGCGCTGAAGGCGGGCGGGCGCGCGCTGGACGCCGCCGCCGCCACCGCGCTGTGCCTGGCCGTGCTGGCGCCGCATCGCACCTCCCTCGACGCGTACGTATTACTACACTACACGCTCTCTCCGCTCAATAATTCCAGCGATTAGCGCATGCAACTAAACAAACAAAGAATTATTAACGCAACACCAGAGGAGTCACAGGTGCGTTAAACACGCAGACCTGTGTCTTAGTGGGGTTAAACTGAACCAAATTAAGTCCACCCCAATTAGAGATTCTCCCTAAAGAAGTCTCGATTTCAGACACGAGTCTATTTCGGCTCTCTATGACGTTTTCCCGAGAAATGTTAGCGCGGCCGGTGTAGTAGGCATCGCCTGTGCTGTCATCCGCATAACAATGAATGCCGCTGATTTGCAACATGTCATTGATATGAAAAGGAACTTAATCTGTCTGCAAGGAAGCAGGAGACCCATTCGCATAATTTCTATATCAGATTGTCTGCATAGTCGGTATTTTTGTGTTCTTTTTTGTTTTTCCATTTCCAAACAAAATTAAAAAGATAGTAAAGCCTTTACTAGTTTTATCCAGTACTCACACCATATTAATTTGAAGGTCATAAATTCTAAACGTGAGGACTTGAAATTGGCTCACTGATACCTGCACTCCTGCGCTCATTGGTATTTTAACTGTTTTCATTAGCTGTAAGTAAGTCTTCCATTTACTATATATAAATATATAAATTAATTAATAATTATATGTTTCTACTTTACCGTCGATTCAATGATAAACATGAAATACGATAAAATATATATATGTATATAATATGAGGTAGATCGTACGTATTCTATCAAAATATCCTTCCTAAATCAACCGCACACAGTCGAAGCAAACATCCATTATGTCCCAACCTGTGTGAAGTGAACAACATTTATACAATGCATTGATGTAACAGTGAATTCTTAGAAATGTATCGTTTATTTGATAGTGTTTGTGTCATGGATTTCCAAGATCAAATGACCTGTAAAAGTGATATATTGTACGGCCATGTTCCAGGAGCGGGGCGATGCTGTACTGGGAGTACCGCGCGGCACGCACGCGGCCTCCCACTCTGTACGAGTGGGGGGGCGCCAGTGAGGCTGGCCGCCAGGGCGCCAGTGAGGCTGGCCGCCAGGGCGCTGCCGGGCGCCCGCCCCGCCTCGTGGTCGCTCTCGCCACGCTGCACGCTCAACTCGGCGCCCTGCCATGGGAGCAGCTCCTTATGCCTGCCATACGGTTAGCTAAGTAAGCACCAAGGCAATTAATTATATGAACTTGTACTTGACTAGGCTACATTTCATTTTGAAAAAAATTAGGAATCCTTGGTAAAATATGAACAATGTAACCGAAGGTCTAGAAAATGAGTTTTAAAATGTCTTTCATCGAATGCGCTACCGAAACTATTAGCGATAGAACAAAATAATGTACAACAATATTGAAGAACATCATAATGTCTACAAAAAACTCTGCGGTAGCATATGTCCAACTATTGTAGTTATGTCGCTACGACAATCCAAATTTCCAAAAATAAATAATTGTCTACCCCGTGCGAAGCCGGGACGGGCTGCTAGTATGTTATAATTCTGTCACCTAGTAGTGTTTACCTTAGTAACGTTTGATCAGCGTCAAACATTACGTACGTCTCGATTCTTCGCCAAATAAATCGAAATGTTCACGCTGCCATTGGAAGCAGTACAAGATATTAATAGTAGTGGGAGTAGTGGGAGTAGTGGGAGTAGTCCTCATCTACATCATTATATTCATTGATAGTTTGGCGCAATTCAAGAACATTCCCTCAGGTGTAAATTACAATGGTTACTTCTTATCAATTCTTCTTTATGAATTCATCATCATCATCATCAACAGCCTATAAATGCCCACTGCTGAGCAAAGCCTCTTCTCACACGGAGAAGGTTAGAGCATTAATCACCACGCTTGCTCAATGCGGGTTGGCGATTTCAAACTTATAATTAGAAATTATAAGTTCAGGTTTCCTCACGATGTTTTTCCTTCACCGTTTGTCAGTGGTGTCTAAATAATCATAGAAAGTACATATAACTCGGAAAAAGTCACATTGGTACTTGCCGTTGGTAGGTTTCGAACCCGCACCCTCATGCATGAGAAGTGGGCGTCTTAAACCTCCGGGCCACCACGACATGAATCTCTTCTGATGATGATCATGAATGAAGTCTTTATGAATTACAATATAGATACTAGTATAGTCTCAGTGATTCTCTATTTCATGCATGTGTGCAGAGAGGGCTACCAGGTATCAGAGGGACTGGCAGCGGCGGCTGGTGCGGCGGACTCGACACTGGCGACAGGGACGATGGCCACAGGGTCCCTGGTCACGGCGCCAGCGCTGGCCGCCTTCTTGTCCTCGCTACTTGCCAACACTAGCTCCGGTTAGTACGCAGCTCGTGAACTGCGCACGTCTTGTGACTCATGTCACTTCATTATACCTGTAGAGGTCGACTAAACCACTGGCACGGTGGCTGGGCCACCAACTGCAGCTGAACATGTCGCAAGTTATTACGCAGCGGTTGTTTGTATAATCCACAATAATAATAATGTTCTGGATATGTTATATGTAGGTACTGTGAAGTACTCTCAATCTAAATCCTCTTATTACATTATGGCAAAGATAATTATAAATTGCTCACACAGAACTTACGGAGGCGTGGCATGGCGCTGCGCTAGTGCGTAGTTCGACGCCAGTAGAGACCCGCGCGGGCTCCTGGCGCCTGCTGACGCCCCCCAGCGCCTCGAGTGCGGCGCGTGCGCTCCAAGCCGCTCTGTTGCCGGCGCCTGCCTCACCCGACGAGGCACAAAGCAGGTCAGTACATGTTTACTTTTACAATATTAGATCATCAATCACTGTACCCATCTGTTATAGCATATGCCACGCCGTAATATACCATAGGTCACAATTCACCGTAATATACACGTATATACGTACATGTATACATATTATGCCATACACGTATATATTTACATCCTAGAATCTTTTTGGCGTCATGCACGTCGCGCATCATTATGACGTCCCCCAGTTCCCCTTAACTTTTTTCATATGTCTTGATGAATATTGCTTAGTTATTCGATTTCCAGCTTAGTAGGATACGTCATTTTCCGATAATTTTATTTTTCACGATATTCTTCTTGCAGTCATGCTGCAACATTTTCGAACCCCAAACAATGGTGATAACAAATTGGGCTCCTAGATATATTGATCGTGATTTAACCATGGCATCGGCTAATTAACGTCCTCACACCGTGGATGGTATTTGCGAGTGCAACGTTGCCAGCTTTGTGTTCACTTGTCTCTTTCTTTTACTATCACTCGTCTGGTAGTACAAAATTTCAACATTATTCCAATATTCACAAAAATTATCGATACATATATCAATGCTCGGATTTGATATAATAATGTTATCTACTAGTAGGTGCCTACTTTATATTATTCTATCAATGTTGTTGGAATGAGTAAGATGAAATAGCTATTGAACATCGGTATATAGCTATTGGGCGTCCGTATATAGCAATTGAACGTCCGCATGGGAAACCAAATTTGATACGCTATTTACTATCAGTATTCTTAGTACTTATACATTTCTACTTTATTAGTCAACTGTACTGTACTGTTGATGGACATGCGCGCGAAGAAAGTTTCTTCCTCAGCAGGTATCATGTAAGATCACCTAGCTATTGAACGTCAGTATATGGCAATCGAACGTCCGTATATAACTATTGGGCGTCCGTATGTAGCTATTGAACGTCCACATACAGCTATTGGGCGTCCGTATAAAGCTATTGAACGTCCATATATAGCTATTGGGCGTCCGTATATAGCTATTGAACATCCACGTACTTCCTCAGCAGGTATCATGTACGATTTGAGGAGTGGCTTGAGAGACATAGCCGCTACGGCGTCTTTACCCACCGCCTGACGCAGGTGCTTATCGGACATGGAAGTTTCGGTAGATTCCTGTTACAGATTGGGCGGGAGGAAACGCCCGGGCGTCATCACTGCGAGGCCGCCCGGAAGACATGGTGGAGCATACGGTGGTGGTGTGCTCTGCGTGGGCTGAACACCGCTGTGTCCTCAGGGATGTGATTGGCGACGGTGACCTCTCGCGTCCGACTCTGGTTCAGACCATGGTACGGACCGAGGGGGACTGGCATGCCGTTTCCTCCTTCTGCGACGCAGTCATGCTACCTAAGGAGGAGGCGGAGTGCGTGAATGAACGAGCCTCTTTACGCTCCAGCCGTCGCGAGAGACACTGCGGGCGTCGGGGATCGCGAAACGATCTCCGGCCACCGTAAGCAGGGGCCTGCGGTCGGCGAGCACGGGTGACTCGCCGCCCGATCAGAACCAGACCCGAGCGTATGGCGCGTCGCGTTCCACATGCGCCTCAAGGAGCCGTCAGACTACCACAGATGGGGCCCCAATAGAGCTGATGCCGATACGGAGCCGCGGAGGACTTAACGGTTTACCGAGGCTCCGGCTCGAAGTGTAGGAGTAGAAACAGGGTGGTTTTTAGTCAGTAAGAGTCCGACACTCCCTCCCGCCTAACCCGGGCGGGAAAAGTCATTGGATGATTTTCCCCCCTCAAAAAAAAAGGTGATTTTCATGATACCTTTTTTTTGAGGGAGAAAAATAATCCAATGACTTTTCCGCCCGTGTGAGGCGAGAAGGAGTTTCATACTCTTCAACTTCAAGCCGGAGCCTCGTTAAGTCTTCCGCGGCTCCGTATCGGCATCAGCCCTGTTCGGCTCCATCTGTGGTGGTCTGATGGCTCCTTTAGGCGCGCGCGGAACGCGTCGCGCCATACGCTCGGGCCTGGTTCTAGTCGGGCGGTGAGTCACCCGTGCTCGCCGACCGCAGGCCCCTGCTTACGGTGGCCGGAGATCGTCTCGCGATCCCCGACGCCCGCAGTGTCTCTCGCGGCGGCTGGGTCGTGAAGAGGTTCGTTCCCTCACGCGCTCCGCCTCCTCCTTAGCTAGCATGACTGGTTCGCAGAAGAAGGAGACGGCATCCCAGTCCCCCTCGCTCCGTACCATGGTCTGAACCAGAGCCGGATCATGAAAATCACCTTTTTTTGAGGGGGGAAATCATCCAATGACTTTTCCCGCCCGGGTGAGGCGGGAGGGAGTGTCGGACTCTTACTAACTAAAAACCACCCCGTTCCTACTCCTGCACTTCAAGCAGGAGCCCCGTTAAGTCTTCTGCGGCTCCGTATCGGCATCAGCCCTGTTAGGCTCCATCTGTGGTGGTCTGATGGCTCCTTTAGGCGCGCGCGGAACGCGACGCGCCGTACGCTCGGGCTTGGTTCTGGTCTGTGGCCGGAGATCGTCTCGCAATCCCCGACGCCCGAAGTGTCTCTCGCGGCGGCTGGGTCGTGAAGAAGTTCGTTCCCTCACGCGCTCCGCCTCCTCCTTAGCTAGCATGACTGCTTTGCAGAAGAAGGAGACGGCATCCCAGTCCCCCTCGCTCCGTACCATGGTCTGAACCAGAGCCGGATGCGAGAGGTCGCCGTCGCCGATCACATTCCTGAGGACACGGCGGTGCTCAGTCCACGCAGGACACACCACCACCGTATGCTCCACCGTGTCCTCCGGGCGAACCTCGCAGTGATGACACCCGGGCGTTTCCTCCCGCCCAATCCGAAACCTCCCGAAACTTCCGTGTCCGGTAAGCACCTGCGTCAGGCGGTAGGTGAGGACGCCGTAGCGTCTCTCAAGCCACTCCTCAAAGAGGGGACTTACCGCTGCAATGACAGCGAGCCCAATCATGAAAATCACCTAGCTATTGATCGTCAGTATATTGCTGTAGAACGTCCATATATAGGTATAGCTATTGGGCGTCCGTATATAGCTATTGGGCGTCCGTATATAGCTATTGGGCGTCCGTATATAGCTATTGGGCGTCCGTATATAGCTATTGGGCGTCCGTATATAGCTATTGGGCGTCCGTATATAGCTATTGGGCGTCCGTATATAGCTATTGGGCGTCCGTATATAGCTATTGGGCGTCCGTATATAGCTATTGGGCGTCCGTATATAGCTATTGGGCGTCCGTATATAGCTATTGGGCGTCCGTATATAGCTATTGGGCGTCCGTATATAGCTATTGGGCGTCCGTATATAGCTATTGGGCGTCCGTATATAGCTATTGGGCGTCCGTATATAGCTATTGGGCGTCCGTATATAGCTATTGGGCGTCCGTATATAGCTATTGGGCGTCCGTATATAGCTATTGGGCGTCCGTATATAGCTATTGGGCGTCCGTATATAGCTATTGGGCGTTCGTGTATAGCTATTGGACGTCAACGTTTAACTATTATTACTGGAATGTTTTTATTAAGTATTTAAGTTCAAAACTTCTTTCATTTAGGCGAGTTTCAGAGCTAAGAGATTGGGTAGCGCTGCTGAAGTGCCTCGCGGTTGAAGATGTATAGGAGCTCTAGGGTCAAGCGCAGCCATAGAGGTAGTACCCAGTAGAGGACTTTATCGCTAGAAATTATGATCTATGACATCCGCTTTTATTTTAATGTAAACCTTAAGTAACTGAAGACTGCGCCTAATCTGATTTTTGTGCGCAAATATTGTATTGAATTTCAATTTTATTAAAGGCAAGATTCCTAATTTAATAGTTCTAGTTGTGGCCACGCAATTATCTCCTCTATTGGGTACTACCTTTATTGTTGAAGCCCGCGCTTCAGTGGCGCTGCCCAATCCCCTAGCTTTGAAACCAGCTGTAATTGTTTCAAATATTTAATTGGCAGCTTATTGATATGAGGTTACCAATCCTAAGTAAGCAAATAAAAACAAAGAACATGGATATCATTATACTGCCTCGTTGGCCGAGTAGTCGCAAGTGCGACTGCCTGGCAAAGAGTCTCGGGTTCCATTTCCGGGTTGGGCAAAGTATTACTGGGTTTTTTCAAAAGTCTGGAAGTGTGCCCGGTATATGGCAATAAGCTCACCCCCTATTACATGGGACTCATAACATAAATAGTAAAAATGTGGATATTACATTGTACAGTGGCATTAAGTGCGGTATTGTGCACCTCTACTTACTCCTTCAGGGAAAAAGACGTGATGTTATGTTATGTTAAATATGGATATCACTTTTATTCAAGTGTTTATGTTTTATAATCAAAAACATTTATAATTCCTAATTGGATCTTTATAACACGTCGAGGACTAGAATAAAGAAGACAAACGTTGATTGATTTGATCAGTAATACGACATTCATTAATTATTCAGTGTTAGATGCACCTTCTAACCACATTAAAAGTTAATAAAATTACGTCAAAATTTATACGGAGACTATACTATCTAAATACACATTTAATACAAGTTAAACTCTGGTTAACCTTTCTTGTGGTAAGACATTTAATTTTGTCACTTTAGTACTTATTTCTAAGATCCTTTTAAGGAATTAACTTATACCCTCATCTATTATATTTCACTGATCATTGATAAATTGAGAACAGGATTACAGATAAGTTGTCGTAAGTTGCACTGACATGTATTAAAATGTAAATAAAACTAATTGAATAAAATCGGAATCCAAATCATACGCAACACATTCGAAATCTACGACGGTGAATATTGTTTCGAATGCGGTAGATAATATTATGATCTATTGAGACAGATTTAATGAGCGAACTGGCAACGTCGCTGTTATTTTTTTGAGGACGCTAAATACGCGGACTTATACTGAGAAAATCCCAAAAATATACAGCTGTGGATATACGCGCTACAGCAGCGCTCTATCCGCGCTGAGATTTCTTTGGGAACTTTTCAAAATACTATAACAGCCATTGAACCGATCTTTTGGCCTCTGTCAATTTTTAACCTACGTGTTCCCAGGACCAAAAGGACCTAAGTTGCATAGACCAAAAAAGTGGCGTCCGATATGCGGACGCCAAAAGCAGGTGGACGCCAGATTAAATGCACTTTTGCCTTCATGGGACGTCCAATCGATTGCGGGATGTAAATATTATATTACATACAGGTATACATATTAGGCATAATATGTATACGTGTATGTTATAAGAACCGAGTGATTAATTATACTTTGAATTCGTCGTAAAAAAACCAAATCAAGCGATTGGCGATCCTCGTTCTAGTCCTGTACATTGATATTTCTACGATTATTGCAATAGTTTGGGTCATTGTTTTGTTTTTTTTTAATTCAACGTCGCTTTTATTTAATATTATGTCCACTCCAATTGTTTTGCCGCATTTTTTATCCAAGAGGGGTAGTCTATTCGTAAATTATGCTAAGTATGCTTACACTGTAATAATAATGTTATATGTTGGGTTTACAGGGTGGTCGCAGCGCTGCAGGTCGAGTCGCGCGCGGGCCAGCTGCCGGCGGACGGGCCGGCCACGGGCCTGGCGGCCGTCGACCAGTATGATACATACATCGCTCTAGTCACGTAAGTCTCACTAGGTCTACATTCAAAAACTAGTGTTGTTACTATGGTAACAACACTAGTTTATGACTTTGATAAGGTAATTTACTAGTAAGAGCCCTGCTAGGGACTCATATTCATGGCATACGACCGAACAAACGACATGCAATACGTGAGTTTTATCCACAGATATAGACTGTGGTTTTCTCAGTATTCATGACATAAACAATTTTTTTAAAAATATGTATTCACCTAATTTTTTCTTCAAATATTTTTTCTTGCTGTGTGCCAACTGTTTTTGATATATTTATAATTTTAATTTAATTTTGTCTGAGCTGTTACCTATTAAGTCAGTATTCGTGTGAATACAGATTCACTTACAGAAGTGGCTCAATATTACTATTTTTCTGCTAAAGTGTAATGTAGCTGTTGATTCACCATTCAATAAATAAATGAATTAATGTTTACGATATTTTTAAAACTTAATGTCAATAAACGCAAACGTCAGTAATTTGTTTAAAGTTTTTGAAACTACTGTGTTGAAGCAATCACACAGGTGTATATGATGAGCCTGTTGCTATATACAGAGGGCTGTCGGCGCCTTTCGGATCGGGCCCGGTGGTAGAGGGCGGGGCGCCAGACGGGTCGGGCTGGGCGCTAAACGGAGTGGGCTGGACGCTGGATGAGCCGCATGCACAGCTCGACCTAGCACCCGCTATTATGCTCGACACCACCGTCTGCGGTTAGTATACTCCACTCTACTGCTAAGGTACAGGCACCTAAAAAGGCCCACCTTATTTAAAAACCTCGTTATATATTGCAAATGAAGTAATAAAATATTGCAAATGTGAGCATTATGAAGAATTAAATACTTTTAATATAAAACTTCGTAGTAAAAACACACAAAACCTTCGCATCACAGCTACATATTGTCTATATCTATACTTATAATAAATTTGTAGAGGTCAACTCTGTACATGACATATATTTCCAAAATAACTAACAGGACACACTGATCACACGATCAGGAATCCATACTGATGCCAAAAGTGCAATCAGTAAATTTTTGTCTGTCTGTATAACCATTATAGAATCAAAAACTACTCGACGGATTTTAACGAAACTTTTATAATCTATACTTATAATAAATCTGTAGAGAGGTCAATTCTGTACATAAAATATTTTTAGAAAATAACTATCAAGGGGTGGTTAGGGATCGCTACTGATGCCAAAAATGCAATCAGTAAAATTTTTGTCTGTCTGTCTGTCTGTCTGTATGTTCGTTATGGAAACAAAAACTACTCGACGGATTTTAACGAAATTT